AAGATTCTTGCACAAAATCACATTAAATTTTCTCTAACAAGACTTAGAAAATATGAATAGTTTTAAAAAAGATGAAATGTGCTGTCAAATCTAAGAACTGCAATGAGGATCTACAATGATGAAAACATATTAAAGAAAGAGAAACTTACTGTAATTTGTTTGATGAATTATCACAAAATCACTTTGTTTCCATTTCACAATTATTTATTTTAAATTTTGGATCTTATTTACACAACAGAGAGACAATGCGATGTTTACATATACAACTCTCACTTATTTCATGTATGTGTATGGTCTCAAGTTGCATGCACTTACTGGTAAGTGTCTCAAGTTAGTGAAGAAATTGTTCACAAGGAACAAGGTAGAAGGGTGAGGGAATCAGGAAAGGAGCAAGAGAAAAGAAAAAACACAAAAGACAGTTATACTCTTAGTTTCTCTTAGTTCATTGAAAAGAAAGGTTTGTGCTAATATCATTTGGAGAAATTTTATGGCCATATATTTTACACTGAGTAACTATTTTGTCAATAACTCTATGCAATGTATAAGCTATTGTTATTTTTTTTTGAATTTGTTTTGTTTTATTGAATAAAATTTTTAAACCACTTTATTGGTATACACTAATGTATATGCATAAAGTCTCTTCTCTTTGGAAAATGCTTCAGTATATTTAAAGAGAATTTATCTTTCAGCTTCTTTCATTGTTCTCTGGTTTTATTGTAAATTTGGCTTTCATTGATATGCTTCTACATTCAAAAGATGTAAAGAATATTATAATTCCTTATTTATTTTCTGGATGTTTGTACCTCAATAAATTCACAAATTTTCCTATTTTTCTACAGAAAGTACAGGAAATGCTGGTCATGTGTCAAGTATAATAACTATATATTTCTTTTGTCTATTTAAATACATTTCTTATCAAGCATAACCACTCCTACTTTGGATTCCTTCTTCTGAGAAGTTTGCAAACAAGATGTGATCTTGTCAATGTTTAAAGTTACTACTCCAGTTTAAGTTTAAAAGTTGCTGCACTCAATATCTGTGTCTTTATTACATTTTCAACTGATTTTTTTCGAATTGTGAAGGGGCAATAAAAACAAAATAAAATGAATGTCTTGGACTCAGGTTGACAGTGTCCCCTAGCATTTTAACTGCTTTCACCCAGAGACAGATTCTTTTCCCCTCTCATCTGATCACAGACTTCCACTGGATAAGCAATCAATTACCACTTGTTTCAGGAGTCTTCACTATTGGACCAT